AAAAAAACATAAGTTAAATAATACGAATATTGATTGAAATAGAGTTCAAAGTAAAATTTTGTGTTCACTTATTTAATTAATCTTTTTAAGATAATTGAATATAAAAATATATGAAAAGTTAAAATCAAGATTTAGAATAAGTTTTTTAGGATTAATTAAATTTCATTGATGAATAAAGAATTTCTATAATTTATTTAAATGTGATAGAAAGTTGTCGATATTTAGAACAGGATATAAGTCACTCCTAGCAATGATTCATACTCAAATATGCTCATTCTAAAAATATTTTCAATAGAATTTATGTCCGAATGATCTTAAAGTATCCACAAATATTTCATATAATAACAATACAATATTTGATATGAACTTTTGAGAACAAATTACACTCAGAGTTCATCAATCGATTTTGATTTTATTTATTGATTCAATGATTTAGATATGTGAGAAAAATGATGTAAATGCTGGTATAAGAGACATAGATACAGTCACTAACTTGGTATAAACATCCTCAGTCTAATTAACAATTATAATTAGTTTTTATGAGAAAAAATGTCTAATAAAGTACAGTATCTTCATTCGATGTTTTCTTCTTTTTAATAATTTCCATTTGTCTGCGTGATATTTAAATTAGAAACAATGATTATGAGATTTTTTTTATTTATTCCATATTTTTTAAGAATATCATCTCGTCAAATTATTTTGAACTGGGAATTATAAGGTTATTCAATTCTGAATATATTAAAGAAATCTATAAATGTGAGCAGTAATACTTGTTTCTTTTTGTTATACAATATTTTATTTGATATTAAGAAATTGTTTATGTAATAATCAACTTCCTTTGTTTGTCATCAAAATTCGATTATTAAGCTATCATGTGATGAAATAGAAGGTTTCAGTAAGCTTCAAAAAGATATGTTTTACTCTATTCCCTTTTAAACAATTTCCGTTGTATAAAAAAACAATATTTTTCTCAAGATCACTTAAATGAAATATGTTTATTTAGAATCATTTTTCTTAACATTTTCTAATTATTTTCTTGAATTTCTCGAAGAAAGATCAGTGTATATCTTTCTCTCTCTATACAGTTAACATGAATAATACATCCGTATCGATTTCAATAAACTTTGCTTTAATAAATCAATCAATAAATCGTTATGCTCCTATTCCTCTTCTTCTATTTGGTATTATTGGAAATATTTTAAATATCTTAGTATTTACACGTAAAGTCTTTCGTAATAATATTTGTGTTATTTATTTTTTGTCATCAACTATTTTTGATTCATTTGTTATTGTTATTAGTCTCTTTCCACGTTTACTTCTTGGATTTAATATTGATCCAACACAAAATTCATCTGTACTTTGTAAATTAAGATTTTTCATAACTTATTATTCAGGATATTCAGCTGCATGGTTTATTGGTTTAGCTTGTATTGAACGATATCTTTGTTCTTCAATAGATATCTACAAACGTCAATTGGTTACAATGAAGCGTGCCTATCTTTCGATAATCTTTGTTATGTTATTGGGAATATTTATATATGGTGAACAATTCTATTGTATTGATATACATCAACAATTATTTGGTGCACCACAATCATGTTATCAATTGAAACGAAATATTCAATGTCAAATTGTTGATAGTTTAATGCAATTTTTATTTGAAATCTTAGCTCCAACATTAATGATGATTATATTTGGATCTTTAACTTTACGAAATATTCGTCATAGACGCAATCGTCGATGTTATCCAGCACAAACAAATAATTCATCAACTCTAAATCCTTCTTCTGCAATACAGCAGTTAGGAAATCCTAGAAACGTAAATAATCAAAGAATAAAAAGACGTGATATTCAATTGGTTACAATGTTACTTGTACAAGTAATTATAATAAAAATAATGTTGTAAAATAATAATTTTTTATTTCTTTTTTTAGGTTATTGTTTTCATCATTTCTACATTTCCTATTAGTATTTACAAACTCTATTCTATTGGAACAATTCATGAAACAAAATCTAAATTACGTCAATCGATTGAAAATACAATATTCAATATATCAGTTATTAGTTTATTTCTTAATAATATCATTACATTTTATATCAATACTTTATGTGGTACCATATTTCGAAAAGAATTAATACGATTATTTCGTCCACTACAGCAAATAATCTATAAATAAATCAATCTTATATAATAGATATTAAGTACATAATGAAAAAATCAAATATTATATATAGATGTATTTAGTTTGTATGTGAGGCTTTTTATTGTTTTTATTAATAAATTATAACTTGATGTCAACAAGAAAAGAATTATATTCTTTCTATCTGAGACTTATCTCTATTGTAAGGATTTATTTTATCTAAAAAAAATAAATCTGAATTAGTTATATATTTATATGGTATGAAGCAAAATCTAAATAAGATCCTATCTCAGATACGTTAGTGGGTGGGTAGGTGTATACTTTCCAGCTGTTGTTCACATCTAGACCCTCGGAAATGCTGTTTACAATATGCTCTCAAGATAAACAGAAAAGCATGACATAATTAATATTGTCATGTTTCTTTTTTTTTTATTTCATTGTTTCCGTTCAAGTAATAAAATAAAAAAAATTATAATATATTTTTTTCAAATAAGTAGTTATCATTAAGTTAAATCCAAGTTGGTAGATATATATCTTGAATTATCTCCACTTATTGATATTTTTTACTTGATTTGTTTCACACTGAATACTATTCATATGATGAATGATAGTTTAGATTTGATTTTTCAAAAAATAATTTTCTTTATTAATTATAATAGAAAAAAAGAAAGAATTATTTTGTTTAAAACATTAAAAATTCTTTTATAAAGTATTTTGTTGTAATTCGTTGACAATTTGATAAAAATGATTTTTTCTTTCTTCATCAATCGGATAAAATCCCCATCGATCTTTATGTGTAATACCATCATATCCATATTGAAGAAGAATTTGTACAACATTTAAATGTCCATTTATTGCAGCAATATACATTGGTGTTCGTTGATGATAATCATCATAAAGTTGATTTGAATGGAAATAATTTTAAATAAATTCACAATTTGATTTTGATTATCCAATTGAATAATTGTTGGATAAGATATATTATTATTCATATACTCATTTAAAAATTGAGATATATGAATATGATCATATTGATATACATAATCTAATGGAGCAAATCCCCATCGATCTTCTCGTAAAAGAATTTGTTGAAAATGTTCTTTTGAAGAAATTTCTAGTAAGAATTGAATTATTTCTAAATT